GTGTCTTCATAACACATTTCCCCCTTCTTCTAAGGACGTTCATGCAACCATTCTGTTTCTCATTTTCAGTACAGTATTCAGTAAATTACATGAGATATTCAACACTTCATTATAAAATAGGCTTTGTTAGATGATTTTGCCCATCTATACACTGATATAAGTGTTCTGAGCATGTTTAAGGTAGGCTAGGCTAGGTTATGATGTTTAGTAAATTAGGTGTGTCCAGTGCATTTCCAACTTAATGGTATTTTCAATTTATGATGAGTTTAACAGATGTAGCGGCATCATATCGTAAGTTGAAGAACATCCTGTAGTATGTGATCTCATCCCACCATCCTTTCTACTAACTAGCAGGCTGATGTTGGGTGAGATATGGTAGCTTTCCAGGACTGGAGTTTCCTAATCTATAGAATGAAGAAGTTGGTCCAAGTGATTTGTCTCTTCTGGTCCCACTTGTCCATTTACATGTTCTCCATCTTTCATACCTTTCCAGTTGTCACAATTAAGCTCATAGCATTGCAACTTCAAATTATACAGACTTTTTTTTTTTTTTTTTTTGAGACAGAGTCTTACTCTGTAGCCCAGGCTCGAGTGTAGTGGCACAATCTTGGCTCACTGCAACCTCCACCTCCTGGATTCAAGTGATTCTCCTGCCTCAGCCTTCCAAGTAACTGGGATTACGGGCGCATGCCACCATGCCCAGCTAATTTTTATATTTTTAGTAGAGACGGGGTTTCACCATATTGGCCAGGCTGGTCTTGAACTCCTGACCTCGTGATCTGCCCGCCTCAGCCTCCCAAAGGGCTAGGATTACAGGTATGAGCCACCTCGCCCAGCCAGATTTTACAGATTTTTAAGACCCAGGAGCACTGCAGAAGTTCATAAACTCGTCTGCCAATAGAGCCCTTCGTAAAAGGAAGGTGGGAAAGACAGAAGTGGGAGTGGGGCGCCATCGGCTTGAGGACTGGACAATTCTTTGTTGTGTGGGACCGTCCCATGCAGTGCAGGATGTTTATTACCCCTGGGTTGGGCTCCAATCCCCACTCAATCACGCATTCTGGCCACCCAGACACTCCCACACACATTGCCAACTGCCCTCTTAGTGGGCAACATCATGACTTTGAGAACCAAAAACCAAGAGATGTAAAAAGTAGATGTAGCCCAGTCGACTAGAGGAACCTATTACACAGCACCTGTTATAATTTATAATTGCTAAATATTTACAATAATACAAAAACCCCTCCCACCCGTCTTGTGCCCTCTCTTCACCCAGATTGGGTCTTCTCATTCTTCCCTCCCAGATGGTTTTCCTCCTTCTCCCCTCTGGGCCTCCAAGCATTACATCCTTCCAGAAATTGCCTGAGGTCATGGGAATGTCCCTTCCTTCCCCACTGCTGCTGTTGATGGTAATTATCCTAGCCACTTTCCCAATTATCCATTCACCTCGGGAAGGAGAAAAGGAGGGACACTAGGGATAGCTCCATCTGTGTCAAATCAAAATATGACTATGATCAAGTCTAAATAATCAAGAGGTGCCTATGCTGGTGGTGATGTCAAAAAGTAAAAAGACACTTCCGCTTCTCAGCTGTCTAGCTTGCATCTCCCTGGAACCATAAACTGTATCTCTTCTTTAACTAGGCATTTCTTGTGCTCAGTAACTCAGCACCCTTGAACAGCACTTATCTCTACAGTCAGCACTGCACATCAAATTGCCCTGCCCCTCTTGACCTTTGAGACGTCACTGATCAGGAGTTCCTGGCAGGTGTGGTTAGTGACACAGAGGTGTGGCAGAGAGGACATGGCCCTGAGAAGTCTGGGCTGGCAAAAGGAGACAGTGGACAATAAAACAAAAACTCAACACTAAAGAAAAAGTAACAGTGAGTGTTTGAAGCAGCAGTCATTAACCTACACCTCCTTGTCTTCTCCCCCATTCTGCGGTCAATTCCTGAAGGAAGGAGTTTGTCTTGTTCACCACTGTATTTCCACACCTGCCACCCTGTGTGGCACCCAATAGTCTCCAGTCTCATTGGCATCTATTATGTTCTCCAATTCACAAAGCTCTTTCCTATTTTGAGCCTTAGCACAAGCTAAGAACATCCGATTTGGAGCACTTTCTCATTTTAAATGATGAATTCCTTCTTACCTTTTAATTCACAGCTTCAATGTGAGCTCCTTAAAGAGCCCTAACTCCATTTAAAGCAAAGTACACACACACACACACACACACACACACACGGGTCAGTTTATTCTAGCGTCCTGCTTATCCTCTCCATAGCCCATATGACAATTTATAATTACTTATTTGTTTGTTTCCTATGTAGAAATTTGACTGCAAGTTCTAGGAAAGGAAAATTTATATCCATCCTGTCCATCTTTCCAGCATTTAGCATATCCAAAGCACTCAATAATTAAAAGAAAAAAATAATAAATATATAAAATCAGAATTTAATAAACCCTATACAAAATTTTACATGGGAAATTAGCTTTATGTTATATGGGAATGTAGCTTTAAATAAAAGTGGCATCTTAGACCAATAGAGGAAAAGTATATTATCCAATATTCATCTAGGTTTCACTGAACAACAAAAACTAAGCTGACTCCTTTTGATATAGTTTGGATGCATGTCCCCTCCCTATCTCCTGCTGAAATGTAATTCTCAATACTGGATGTTGGGCCTGGCAGGAGGTGTTGGATCATGGGGGCAGATCCCTCATGAATGGCTTGGTGCCATCCCTTTGGTGATAAGAGAGCTCTTATGCTGAGTTCAACAAGCTTTGGTTGTTGAGAAATGTGTGGCACCTCTGCGCTTCCTCTCTTGCTCCTGCTCTTTCCAGGTGACATACTGGTTCTCCATTGCCTTCTGCCATGATTGTAAGCTCCCTGAGACCCTCCAGAAGGAGATGCTGACACCAAGCTTCCTGTACAGTGCAGAACCATATTCCAAAATAAAACCCCTTTTCCTTATAATCTACCCAGCCTCAGGTATTTCTTTATAGCTATAGAAGAACAGCCTAACACACCCTTCCTTCCTTAATCTAAATCAAAATCAATTCCAAATGAATCAAAGATATAAGCCTTAAAAAAATTAAGCCATTAAAAGAACTTGAAGGAACACTTGTATAAGAAATTTAAGCACCTTAATGCTGAAATGGTTTTTCTAAGCAAGTCAAAGAATAAAAGATTGATATAGTTGAATACATCAGAGCTAATACTTTCTTCACACATATACCCTCAAAACATAAACAAGGACAAAAGATAACAAACTGTGGAAAAATAATTGTCACACTTCACAAAAGCCTAGATTTGATTACAAATAAAGTGTTTTATAAACAAATAATGAAAATACTAATAATTCAACAGAAAAATAAAGGACACAAGCAAACCACAGGAAAAAAAATCACACAAATGATTTTAAAGAAATGGGAAAAATTTCAAGGATATCAAATAAAAGAAATGTAAATTTAATAAAATACCATAGTTTTATCTTTGAAATTGGCAGACATGAAAAAGTTTGAAAATATTTAGTGTTAGCCAATATGTGGGGAAAAGTACACTGGTATATTAATAAAGTAAGAATGAAATTTTCATCTTTTGAAAGTCAGCCTCATGGATCAGCTGGCCTTTGAGAGTGGTCCAGCATTTTATGTCAGTGTGGAGGACACCTTGGCAACATCTATTGGAATTTTCAGTGCACATAGCCTTTAGCCAGTAACTCTATTTTAAGATTTTATTCTACAGATGAGAAAGCATAAGTGAAGATGTATATGAAAGATTCACGCAAAAGACCAAAAACAATCTAAATGACCTTTAATGGTGGACTGATGAAATAAGCTTTGGTTAGTATCCATAACAGATTACTACATAGCCGCAGAAAAAGAAATGTGCCAATGTCATATATCTCTTTAGTATATGAAACGTACAAGCCATGAGACCACTATATTAAGTGAAACAAGCCAGGCACAAAAAGACAAATATCACATGTTCTCCCTTATATGTGGGAGCTAAAAAATTTGATCACATGAAAGTAGAGATGGGGTAGATGGAGAACAGACACAGGGCAGGGTGAGTTGTGGGGGTGAGGGGAAGAAGACACGTGAGTGAAAGGGTACAAACACACACTAAGATGGAAGGAATAAATTCAATGTTGGATAGTAGAGGAGGGTGGCTGTACTTAACAGAAATCTATTGTACTCAGGTGAACCCCTCAATACCCTGACTTGATCAGTACTCATTATATACATGTAACAAAATGTCTTATGCTCCCCATAAATTTGTACAAATAAAAAAAGGAACATGTTATAATAACCTTCTCAGAAAAAGAGGAAAGAAAAGAAAAGGCATGGAAGAGAATGCATTGTATAAATCCACTTGATGAGGGAAAAAAGACAAGTCAGATAAAGATAAACAGAGAGATAGGTAACTAGACAGACAGACATGGATGAATATGCATGGACCACTTCTAGAAGGACTCACAGAAAACCTCTGAGGAAGGGATAAAAGGTATGCAGATTGACTTTTCATGGGACCTTTTTGTATTATTAGAAACAAATTTACCATCTGCACATATTACTTTTTTAATTAAAAACTCAGTAAAATTTTTAAAATGATCTAGCATAATGCAATGTAGCCTCTAAAAAATTCTCTGTAATAATAATAACAATGTTAGTTAAAAAAAAATAGTAAGATTTTTCTATCTGGTTAATGCTGTCATTATTAAAAGGCATAATATTTTAAACAAACACCCAAAATATGAAAGAATAACTCTCTCAACAATTCAGTAGTGAGGCAGATTTAGTCTTTTAGGTGATAAGAAGCTATTCAACTTTAAAAGCCTAAACTTTATTTATTTAGAAGTATATTATTTTAAAAACGTGGCTAAGGAAACTTGGGCAGTCTAAGTTCATCTGCAGCCAGAGCCACTCCCTACCCATCCCCAACAATGTATTCAAATTCAATGCCATAAGTTACTTATTAAACACAAGAGATATTATGCCCTGGGAAAACCATTGTAAACTTTGCCTGTAGGAGAGCTAATCTCTTAATAAAATACAGAAAAACCATCTCAGAAAAAGGAAAATGGGCAATCGTCATGTAAGTATTCATTGCCTTTGGGAATTGGCTTTAATTTTGGTTAGCATGTGGAAGAATTTAAATTATAAAATCATGACTGATACTTGTATACTTTATCATTATGATTACCCTGTAATATTGGTTTTAGAAACAGCATACCATGCTTTTAAAATGTATTGAGGCCAGGCGCAGTGGCTCACACCTGTAATCCCAGCACTTTGGGAGGCCAGCTAAAAAAAATATATATATATATGTATATAAAATATAAAATATATTTTATAAATATAAAAATATATATATATAAAATATAAAATATATATATATATACAAAAATTAGCCAGGCTTGGTGGCACATGACTGTAGTCCCAGCTACTCAGGAGGCTGAGGCAGGAGAATCATTTTAACCTAGGAGGCGGAAGTTGCAATGAGCTGAGATTACACCACTGCACTTCAGCGTGGGCTACAAGAGTGAAACTCTGTCTCAAAAAAAAAAAAAAAAAAAGTGCATTGGGAATATATTTTTCCCTCATTGGCCAAAAGTCTCTTAAGAGGGCTAAAGGGAAAGAAGTATATATAATAAGGCAGTAAATAGTACCTTGCAGAGAGCAAATGGTTAATATGTACCTGTAGAATGTATAACTAAAGCTGTTAGTTGGTAGCAAATTCGTATAAAACTTCATAAACTGAGCAAAATCAGAGTTATGTGGGAAAGTTAGGTTCATGTTGCAAATATTAATAGACCAAGGTAAATACTCCTATAAATCCATACAACTTGGATTGAAAGGTGAAAATATTCCAGTATTATTTCTAAACATCCAGATATTTGCAAATATCCATGGAATGGACTTCATATCTTTAGGCTCCTGAATGGTGTGTCTGTAAGTTGTTAATGACTAAAAGCTGACTAAAACACAACTTTTTGGAACCAACTACACACAAGACAGATCAGAATTGAATCCTGATTTTTTTTTTTTTGCATTGAAGTATATCTAAAGCTATTCCAATACAAATCTTTAAAAGGTTTTACACACCTGCTGTAACTTCCCACAGCAAGAATGATACATTTTGTGCACACTATGGGCAGAGAATAAAACTCTAAAATGCTCTGAAAACTGTTACTTTGTCTATACAGTTTTTCCTTTGCTATATATTAAAGCTGCACTCAGATGTTTACAATCGTACAAATATAGTCTTAGAAAAGGCATTGTTTTTTAAGTTATCTACAAATAGCATTTTAATATTAGAAGAGATTATGAACCATCCATTCAGTGTATCTTTCAGAGAAACTGAAGCCTACTTTTCAAATACTTCTGATAGATGCAGAGGACCCCAGGAATAATAATTGGCCCCTACCCTCACAGCTGAGGAGGACAATTTTGTCTTTTGAAAGTCAACCCCAGGGAGCAGCTGGCCTTTAGAAAGAGACCAGCATTTTTATTTATTTATTTATTTTTAATCCTCAGAGCCAGTCGTATACCCTCTCAGAAGGCAGTCAGCAGTTGCCCAAAGGGAACACCCAACCCTCGACAGCCGTGCAGCCTCTCAGCCACCCATCAGGAAATGGAGAGCCAGAGGCCCCACAGCCTGTAAGCACTTTATTTTCCCTCCAAATCGTAGGTATGACCTCTGCTCTCTCATGGGTGCAATGTAAGTCCCCAGTGACCTGTCATGTTGGAGCCTCCAACAGCCACCAGCCATCATCAGGCATGATTTCCAAGCAGGGAAATTTTTCCCTGCAAAATGTTCATTACTGTATTTGCAGGTAATGTAAAAATGAAATCTTACCTATGGGCTTTGTTTCTATTCCCAACAATGTCTCATTAACAACCTCTTGAAATCGAGCACATGAGGCTAGACCAGGGCCACTATGACATTTCGGAAAATAGGAAAGGAACTTAACATGTGCCTGAGGAATGAATAAATGCTAAAAAGTAAATACAAAATATTTTCAAAGAACCAAAAATTATCCCAGTAATGGCTTCACTTATTTGCCTTAGAAAGTTACTAGTGCAACTTACTAAAGAATATGTACAGACATAAAACTAGAATGCTGGTGGTTTTGAAACAACTATACAGCCAAAACAAACATATAAATTAAATGATAATAAAATACAAGTCAATGCTGTTTAAATGTAAGTTATCAACATAGTATAATAGACAAGATTATTTTGTTGAGATTAAATGGCTGTGCTCAACATGAAACGGTCCCAGTCGCTATAATGCTGGGATTTTGGAGTTTTTTTGGGTTTTTGTTTTGTTTTGTTTTGTTTTCTGAGTCACAGCAAATCTAAAATATGATGTGGTATGTGACCTCTGAGTTCCTCTATCATATTTCTCTTATTGAACCAACTGAGAAATTTGTTTGTAAGTCTCCCTGTAATGCTGTGGGACCTTCTTTTGGCTCACACACGTGATGTTTCTATTAAACCTCCCTCTGTTCTCTCTTCTTTCATCATTAGCTGCAATAATTGAAGTATGGCTATTTGGCATATAAACAATCATAAACACAAACAGAAATGCAGACATTGAAGTCATGAGCCAAGACTTATTCATCTTGAAAATCTAGTATGCTTTATATTAATTTTTAAGTTGTTATCAGCATGAAATACACTATTTCAAAAGACTCCTAGAAAAGTTTTGATTCCCCAAGAATATGTCCACAGACCAGGGCCCATGATAACTGACAAATATTATCACAGAACCGGTAGAATATTGGCCAGGAAATTGCATTTTTCAAGGTACTGTCATCTAAAATCGTAACCAATCCTGAAACAAAAATTACTTTTGTGCTATCCTCTAACCTTTGGTCACTATTAATGATTTTTCTGAACTGAAGACCTAGTGTTTGTGAGTAATCTATTTGGAGCAGCAGTAACCAAGATACTGGGTCATTATCATTCACCAAATCACACAATTTTCAAAGAATTTCCTTATCCTGGAGGACATGTCCTTGTGTTCAATGAGCTTTGCAGATGGAGTGTACCTAGAGAGAAAGACCAGATCAGTGGAAAAATCTGCTTAGGTTTAGCTAGATGACTCTTCTACTGTCTGAGTTGTTCTAACAAGAATCACTATCTAGAGAAAAATAGAAAAGTGAGATCAATATTAAGATTACTTTACCACGGGAGTGTGGCTATAGGATATGGGCAGAACGAAGAGGGAGCGAGACCTAGTGGAGCCACTGATAAATGTGGACATAATCACAAACTCAAATGGACTCATGGGTCCCTGGATTCATGGCAGCATCCATATTGCCTGGGCACTTGTTAGAAATGCAGATGTTTAGCCCACTCAAATCTATGGCCTCATAGTCTGCATTTTGACAGACTCTTCAAGGGATTTTCAAGCACATTAAATCTTAGAAGCATTGGGCTAGGGAATGCTTTCTCAAACTTGCCTGCATTGAGATCACCTGAGGAGTTCTCAAAGCCACCGATGCCTGGGTGCCACCCTAGAGTCTGAATTAATTGGTCTGGTGGCTGTCCTGGGCATCAGGGTTTGTAAATGCTCCCCAGGTGGCTCTAATGTGCAGCAGAGTTTGAGAAGCACTGAAGTGGAGAATACGACTAACCTTACAAGAAGAGCTTGGCACACCGGAGACACAGGCAGATGGTCATTGCCCATGCTCATAACTGAAAACCAATTTGTAAATGTTAGAACATCTGTTCAGCGGTCTGCCACGTTGTTTGTGAACATGCCCAGTTTATGACTTGCTTGTGCCAATATTTAGCCAACATATATATTGTCTCCAGTGGAAAATAGTTTGGGACTTGTGGCAGGTAAATACCAGGCGAGCTCAGATGAAGGTGGACCAAGAACACCGTGCATGACAGGTGGGGTTCCTGAGAAAAGAAGAGAGGCTCTGAAGGCAGGTAAAATATGGCTGGGAATTTGAAATTAAAATAAGTGTGCTCTGAACCAAGGATGTGCATTAAACTGTGATCCCAAATCCAGAAGACCCATGGTCAAGCCTTAGCAGAAAGCAGTCTAGATCATGCAGTCATACCTCCTCTTAAATAAATAAATACGATCAGGAAATATTACTTTTCTTTTTGAGACAGAGCCTTGCTCTGTTGCCCAGCTGGAGTGCAGTGGCTCAATCATGGCTCATTGCAGCCTCGACCTCCCTGGCTCAAGCAATCCTTCCACCTCAGACTTCCAAGTAGGAGGGACTACAGGCATGTGCCACCATGCCCAGCTAATTTTTTGTAACAACAAGTCTTCCTGTGTTGCCCAGGCTGTTCTCAAATTCCTGGGCTCAAGTGATCCTCCCACCTTAGCCTCCCAAAGTTCTGGGATTACGGGTGTGAGCCATTGCACTTGACCTCGGGAAATCTTTTAACCCAGAAAGTTGGTCCTTCAGAACACCACTGCAAAAGTTCAGTTCAGTATTCTTTTAGAGAAACTGCCTCAAGCCAGATGCTCTTTGAGGATCTGCAAATAAGAAGAATAATTAGACAAAAGGCCATGGTTCATGCTCTCAAAATATCTCAGTCTTATGAGAGAGGCAGACACATACATAATTACAATGATGTGTAATGGATGCTCTCATAGAAACATGGCCATCATCACACAGTTCAGAAATAGGACAGTGGAGGGAGTGATTCTGCACAGGAGAAATGAGTAGAAGCAGATTCTTAAAGTGGATTGTTTGCAGAGCAGGAACACTTGCAAAGGAAGTATAGAGAAGCAAGTACATTCATAGAGCTACAAGAAGACAAGTGCTGCTGGCATGTGTATCTTTAAGCACTTAGTACATCATAGGGCAATTGCCTATGCAGCTGTTATCCTCTCCTGCTAGGCCGAAAGTGTCTACAGGGCAGACACTGTGCCTTAGTCATTGCTGCATCCTTTGGACTTGACACATAACAGGGGTGCCATAAATATTTTAGATAGAAAGATCTATGAACAAGGAGATAGACTAGTAGATAGATGCACAGGGGTGAGACCCAAAAACCCTTGTATGCTATGCCAAGTGTGTTAGTTTCCTAGGGCTACCACACAAAATACCACAAACTGGATAGCTTAAGCCAAAGAAACATATACTCTCAAAGTTCTGAAGTCTAGGAGTTCCAAACCAAGGTGTTGGCAGGGCCAGGCTCCTTCTGCAGGTTTTCAGGAAGTATCCTTTCTTGCCTCTTCCAGCTTCTGGTGGCTCCAGGTGTTCCTTGGCATGTGGCAGCATAACCAACCTCCGCCTCCATCTTCACATGGCCTTTTCCTCTGTGTGTGTCTCTAGGTTCTTTTCTTATAAGGATATTGATATGGTTTGGCTGTGTCCCCACCCAAATCTCATCTCGAATTGTAGCTCTCAGAATTTCCAATGTCATGGGAGGGACTCAGTGGGAGGTAATTGAATAACAGGGGTGGGTTTTTCCCATGCTGTTCTCATGATAGTGACTATGTCTCAGGAGATCTGATGGTTTTATAAAGGGAATTTCCTCTGCACACACTCTCTTGCCTGCTGCCATGTAAGACGTGCCTTTGCTCCTCCTTCACCTTCTGCCGTGATTGTGAAGCCTCCTCAGACATGTGAAACTGTGAGTCCATTAAGCCTCTTTTTCTTTATAAATTACCCAGTCTGGGGTGTGTCTTTATTAGCAGCATAACAAGCTGATAGAGACACCAATCATTGGGTTTAGGACACACTCTAAATCCAGGATGATTTCATTTTGAAATCCTGAAGTAATTACCATCTGCTAAGACTCTCTTTCCAAATAAGGTGACTTCTGAGGCTGTGAGTAGACATGAGTTGGGATGAGTGGGTGGGATGGTACTGTTCAAACTATGATAAGGAAATAAGGTTTTATTACCTAAGGCTAGTAGTGATTTTAAACTTTAGCACATTAGATTTCCTTGGAAGACTTACTTAAATAGAGAGCTGGATCCAACCCCCCAAAGTGTTGATTCAGTAAACACTCCAAGGTGGAGCCTGAAAATTTGCATTTCTGAGTTCCCTGGTGATGTTGATACTGCTAATCTAGAAGCTACACTTTGAGAACTGCTTCCTTAGGCATAGGAAAACCCTAATCAGGATCAGACAAAGGAATAACAACTTCAGAGCTGCTTTTAGCTAGACCATGCTGGAAGCTGGTGGAGAGGGGCTTGGAGAGAAACATGACCAGAGGCAAATCAAGCATTTGGGAAGCAGTGGCCCTGGAGAGAAATGAGGACCCTCTGCCACCTCCACCCTCATCAGCTGAAATAGCAACAGTGGCATTGGGGAGAAGGAGACAGATGAGAGTCAAATGAACATAACTTGCTAAGTGGGTGTGCAAGGTAAGGGAAAGGAAGATGACAGAGTGACTCCAGGTGTCTTGTCTAGATCGTGTGCCCAGGTGGATGGTGGCACATCCCAGGGATGTAAGGCAGTGACAGGTTCACTTTGGTTTGGGGATCTACAGAGTTTGAGATATCTTTGGGAAGTATGAGTTCACAGTTGTTTTCGTTTGTTTGTTGAACAATTAGTATGTGTTTGATCACAAGTAGCACACCACAGGACTCACTTTGGCTTAAATAACAAAGACATTTGTCAATTCTAACAGGAGCTCTGAAGGGAGCTGATTCCAGTGTTGGTTCAGCAGTT